TTGACAGCTGTCAATTTTAACGAATTATAACGTCGCAGAGATGTGTACCTAGAATTATTTTTGGTAGTAAAAGCTCGTTAATGAAAACATTTTGAGTTCCAAAAATACTGGTCAGTTTCCTGGTCCTGAATTACATTTCTTAACTACGAACTTTTTTCTAGAAAACTTTTTAAACAAATTTCCAAACCATTCCTACTAACAATAACCACAGCTGAAACTATTTTATCTGGATAACGTCAGTATAAGCTACTTTTTTTGAAACAGAAGATAAATCTTTAACAAAAGTAATTCAAAGTAGCGCGGGTTGTAAATAATTTCGTTAACATGTTTCAAAACTGCCAATTCAAACGTTATGTGTAATTAGTATATACCAAACATTTAACTATCACCCTCTGTTCTAATTATCGGTAATATTTATTTTATAAACTATATTTCTTTCATGTCTATTGATATTTGCTTGCTTCTAGTGCATAGCTACACAATGGGCTACCTGGGCCGTATCCGCCGTGGGTATCGAACCCCAAATTGAAGCGCCCTCAAGTCATTATATTTAATGCTGCCCAGGTGGTGAACTTCTGCTACCGATATTAAACACAACTTTGCATTCCCGGGAAATAGTTCAATATTTTTTGTTAGGTATCTGAAATATCAGAAAAAGTAATTGTATAGTTATTTATTGGAAAAGGTTCGAGATACCCCCCATGCTAATAATTAAATAAATGATTCTCAATTCTTTCTAGTGATGTTTATAATTCCATTGAATTTTATCCACAGTGTTAAGTAAAATCTAATTAGTTATTCAAAATGTACAATTTTCGTCATTGTTCTCTTTGTTAAATTGAGTTTTCAACTATTCGTTTTCACAACACACAATTACAACAACAGAAAGTAAAAGGTATTTTACGATCTAGATGTTTACCGAATGAAAACAACTTGTCAGGTAGTACTTTTCTGTCAGTTGTAGCATTTATGCCTCACGCAAGTTTCGTTTAAGTTCATGCATTAGTATTGTAAAAGCAATTGCTTTGTAATTGCTACCATGTAGCTAGTGGAGGTTAACAAGTTGCTTTTTAAATAATTATAGAGCTTTAATATAGTCCTACCTAACAAAATATTGAATGCTAATAAGGTATTTAACTGTGTGTATAACATGTTGTTTAGGTTACAGCTACGATAAAGAGAAACAAATGTTTTGAACACATAAACACATAATAAACTACTTCTTGGTGACCACCGAGTGTCTATAAATACCAAAGGTCGTCTTCATATGAAATTTCAAATGCAAAATTTGGTCAACAAGCAATAAAATAATATAAATTCAACTGAGTAAGAAGACTGGGTTGGTAATATAATAAGAGAACTCTGTGATTTATAATTACACTGTTATTTTTATATTTTAAAACTTTCCACTGGTTTTTTTTACATTTCTGAGTTGCGTTGTTTTATTATATAACCACATAAGTCTTGATTGCTCAAGCAATTAACAAACCGTGTCTCTAAACCACAGAGGGAATTAAAAGGGCCGCCTGAACCAACTAACATACAATACTTTATCACCATGATAATTTTCAAGTCTAAACAGATATCAAAATAGAGCAGTATTAGGTGTTAATGATTACATGAGCTTGGGAATCCGACCTGTTTGTAAGAAGATGTATTTTTCATCTAGATGTTGAAAGGTAACAGCATCTACAGTCTCATATGTGAGCCGATTATTATAGCCTCGAAAGTTGAGAATAGCATCAGTATTCCGCCCTTGGGAGAGCGACATTTGATTGCTACAGGTTCTAAACCTAGTGTAGACCAGTTAACGGCTTTGTCGTTTATTCCATTAGGAACAGCCATCGATATCTTTCGAATTCCTATAGGAAAACTTTATTATAGTGGTCTTCTGTTGACCTCTCCCAAGTTAGCACTTTGGTTATCGAGATATCTTCGTCTATAAATCAGGTTCTTTTTTGGCTGGTTTTTCATCAACTCTACCATATGGTAGAGTCAGTCTCGTGTTCGAAACTTGTAACTAAAAAGTTCTTCAGACGATTTGTTTTTTCAGTTTTACCCACTTTTAAAGATCTAAAGTTTTGACTGGACTACAATTGAGTAGAATACTTGAATTTAAACAAAATCATTAGTGTTTATTAAAATCTGAAACATCTCTAAATGTGAAGAATTTTGAAAATTGTAGTTGCCAGGTGGTTTAATTATTTCTAGTATATTATGCAATACTACTGCATACGAATTGTACGTTTATATCTACATTCATAGCCACAAATCGTTGAAACTAATCTACAGAGCCGGTTCAATTTATTATTTAAAGTATGAATTTAACTTGATGAAATGAATTAAGATATACTTCGCCAAAGTATACTTAACATAAAATATATTTTGAGATAAAGGCTTTACTTACACAGACCTGAAGATAGGCTATAATTGTTGTATTACCATTGTCCTAGTATAGAAACATTTTATGATAAAACAATGAGACGAATGCTACCATTATTCCGAGGGATAACCGTTGTGCTACCGTTGGTCTGGTAGATGATTTCATAAGATGTCTTTTTTTTTTTGTCTGATAAGTTGATCGTTCCATATGTACATGTTCTTTTTTAGACATTTTACTAGGCTAACATTCGTTACTGTAACTAAATCATTTACTCCGTATGACATTAGATCGAGTTGTTGAAGATATTAAATAATTACATGGCTCGTAGCAATTCTAGTTCAAGTCACGAAATATTTCTGCTGTGACGTGAGTCATCACAGAAATAATGAACGTCGTTTGCTTTGTAATTGTTTTCAGGATCCTATGTTAATTCACATCGTGTGTTTGGGAATTGGTTTGTTTGTGAAGTCCTCCCACATATTTGAAGCTAGAAGAACCAAATTTGGCAAGAGGACTTGGGATGGCCAAGTAGGTTCTTATTTATATGGTTTAGTTTCCTATCAAAGGGCTTACAAAGCACTCGGAAAGTCACCCAGGAATGATGGAGAGGGAGGTGAGAATTAGGCTCTCTGTTCCTGGCCCCTAACAGAATTATAGGGGAAGTCATGTTTGAATTTGTGTTAACACCCATTTTATTTACTTATATGGTTTTAAACTAAATCCTTTCAAAGTTTCAACAAAATATATTGTAAATGTTAATTATTTTGTTAGAAACTGGAATTTAAATGCGGTAGAAATTTATTATTATTAGAAGACAGTATAATGTTATTTAAGTCTTTCAATATCCTACTTTTATTAACATCGAATTGTAAAATAATTCAGTATTACTAGTGTTTAATTCATAATAAAGTATACGAACTTCAATTTATGATATTTTCTCACTAACATAAATTTCAGTTTATATTTAAGTTACTGATCTGGTATTGTTTATATATTTTTCCTACTTAATTAATCGATCCAAGTGTGTTAAAATCTCGATTTGGTCGATAATGTAAACACATAGGGCAAATATATTTCAATTATCAAACGTTTGGACCGACAATACGAATGATTTATCTGCTTGTATTTCGTAGTCTGTCGTGGTCTAGATGTTGGCGCGTGTGTGTGTTGGGCTGCGGATGAAGGGTCCAAGTTTTTAACGTGATGGTGCTGTGATTTTCAGCTATGGATGCATTATAAAACTGACAGTGAATAGTGTTATTCGGGCTGAAGAACCGGACAATGCCTTTGTGGCAGCGGGTGCTGCTGGCTGGCTGCCTTTCCTTTGATCAATAGATCCAAATTACTGACGGCTTTACCAGAACTAAAGGGGTTTTTGACCTTGCCGTTTAGCTCACGTGCGTATAAAGTAATTTTCAGAATAGAATTTTCAGTTCCTGCTTGTATTTTCAAATTTTCTAGGTGTTATTCCCAGTTGTTAAAAGAGAGTGGATAAGCATTTAAGCTTTCATAAAATAATATATGTTGTTTTTCAAAGTAATTTACATAAAACAATACAACTAAAATTTAAATACTTTGTTTTTATTTCACAAACAGAAATTACGAAAAAAAGCGAACGAATACCGTCATCAATGGCTATTGTTGCTTCAAGATAAAAAGCTTTGGTAGAAGATTACTTAATCTACTTTCCGTCATGTTGACTTGAAAATGATTTTTGTAGACAACACAAGGTCATCGTCGCTATATTACTTTCGACGGTTTTCGTAAGTATTTGTCTCATTGAGAAACACATTGTATTCTAAATAATGTTTTAAAAGTAACAAGCTACTGGGAACTAAGTGAATTTCAGTTTAAACATTATGCTCTAAGATAAGTAAGGAATATTCCTATATCGCGTGAAATTAATGTTCTACCTTTCTTTTTACGTGCTTATTTTGCACATGCATTTATTATAAATGTTCTACAGATTCTACCACCAGCTACGCAGCGACTGAATAGCACTGACAGATGAGTTAGATTTAACAATCATAACACAGTATTTGTTAACAGCAAACTACACTAGGAGTTTCCTTCTGTTTAATGTTAAGTAGATTAAGCCACAAACGTTTGTACAATATTTTTTTACTCATGCAACATTGTTATATATTTTCCCTTCTATAAAATTAGACAAATATTAAAAGGTTAATATGATATCTGAAATTAACAAACTTTGTCCATAAATAACATTCTAAACAGGATTTTTTTTTTATTGTTCGATTTTAATTTTTTTAAACAATAACCATTTCATGTTTTGTTTGCGATTCTCTAATGAAAAAGCATCATAAAACAATTTAATGACAAATAGCTGAAAGCTATCCCGTATCACTGTATCAGCTGAACATAACTTATAGAATTAATTCGTATAGAACCACTTGGGGGGGGGGGGGGGTAGGGCTACCCAGTTTAAAATATAGTATTAAAGTAAGCAACCCTTAAAAGTTCATTACCTTTGAGGGGAAATATTTCTTAGTAATAAATAGATATACATTAAGAAAGACATACATGAAGATTGGAAAAAATTAATATCACCTTTAAATTATTATTATAATTTTCAAACAAAAATGAGTTAATGGGTTATACCAAATGCATAGAAACTCACAACAATGTATTAATATTTCTGTTAAAGAGAGAGAGAGTACGGAAAGAATAATCTATAACCCCTTCCTACCACCTTTTTCTTTCACAACATATCGTAAAAAAACACAACCTATAGCAATGTAATGAAAACAAATACCATACATATTGCAAACAACGTGGAAATGTATAAATAATTTTTTAAGCTTACTTTAAGAGAAGAAGTATCAAGTTGATGAGGGAATTTTTGAACAACGACTTCCGTGTTTCCTGTCAGTTTGTATATTTAGCTTGGAGTGAAGAATCGTGTTTTAAAACTGGTTCTCGCTTCTAGCTTTTGACATATAAAAAGAGCCATTACAGTTTTTTAGTTAAGAAGGTTTCACGTGCGACAGAAGTTGTCAATGTATTTTGGAATATATCAAACTTTAAACCAGCAAAACAAATACTTTCAAGAATGATAGAGATATATAACGATGTAAAACAGTAAAAGACCGTAAACTGAAGTAGATAGCGTTTTTGATACGAACCTACAGCGGTAGCTCTTACTTTTTAGACTAGCGAATATCTTTCCAAGTCCCATAGCAATTCGACGAAATATAGATGGGTTTGGGTCTCTACGTTTTGTGTTACTCTGAAGTAGTGTCAACCCCGAGATCAGGTTGCCATGACGACAGTGTTCAACCATGTCTTCTTTGAAAACAAAAACAAAAAAAAAAGAAGGCCAAGTTATATTTACCAGGTATATACCTTGAAGCTGAAAAAGGAAGCTACAGCACAGATCATAGATAGACCTAACGTTAAAGTCCAAGAAGTCATAAAAGCATCCTCTTCTCCATTAGTTGGATCTAAGGAAATAAATCAGTAAGTTTAATTACAAAGTAACCCAACTTCACAGGGTATGAGTAATTTGTAAAAATTAAAACCAAACAAATATTGTAAAGCGTTTTTGTTTCTAAAAGTTGAAAATTAGGTAAGCAATAATGAAAAAATGACAAATAAAACGTAAAATATCAGAATATTAATTAGTTAGAGTTTTTATTAGCTTTTTGTGGTAGAAATATACTAAATATTAAAGGATAAACGTTTTAAAGATCTCCTTTTGAGCTAAATATATTATTTACTTTTTGACCTGGCTCCAAATATATGAGTGGTGTAAGCTCATGTGAAAATCACAATGTCACTAATTCTATCACGTCATCTCAAATTTTGGCTTAATCTAGAATGAATTGTCAAACACAAATTTGTTAATGGAAATTTTGTGTGTTTTTTAAAATCGGAACTTTACTGAACTGTGTTCTAGTAAAAGCGTATTTCTGCTCTGTAAAACTCCTGCAGTTTTTACTTATTTTTTGATAATCCCTTCCTTCTTATACATCATATATTATATAATTTATATACTAATTGCTGACAATTAACAATGAATTAAGTAATGAAAGGTAGTTTAAATAATGTATTAATGGGGTTTCATTATTTATTGATTTTGGAGAAATAGTCACTGTGTGTTATTATTAATATTTAATAGAGTTTTACTTTTAGCAACCAGTTATGCCAGTTCTTTTTGGTGGCAGCAAAATGTTTATTTTCTACCAATAAATCTCAAAAAGAAAAGTCCCATAACGTTACTTAAACTTATAGGCAATTGTCTGTGCATTATGATGAAGTGCGAACTCATAAACTATTATTTTTAACTACTTTTCATGGTCAACTTTAAAAAAAGTAAAAGGGGATTCAACCATTTAACAAAGACACTTATCCATATTAAGTGTTTAATATTAGTTTTGATCCGAATGAAAGAAGTCGAAATTTCAAACTACAATTCATAACGTTCACGATAATGAATAATAAAGATTAAAATCGATCTCGTGAGACAGTATAAATGTTTCATTAAAACAGCACTGCTGCCATTAGAATAATTATCATCCTAAAATATAATAAGTCTGCAAAAATGCTAAAATTAATATAAAAAAGCGTAATAAGACATACCCCAATATTGCACAAGTTTATAATAATATTAAATATGCATTTCGCTAAAACGGTATATGTTACAAAACAACTATGAATACAAAGTTTTAAATAGAACATCAGAGATTGAAAGAAAATTTTAAAATCACAACTGGTATAACATTACAAGAATATTTATGTAGATAATTTGTAACATTTGGGTACTAATAACAATAAATGCTGCGAAAAAGCAAAAACAAGCAACGCGGTCTTTTCCAGCAAAGGTCGAAATGTTTTAAATGGCTTTTCTGTAAAAATGTTAATCACCTGCAGGAAAAAACGTCAAATACAGTGAAGTTTTCACTCTAATAATAGGAGATTGTTTGAACCTATCTAGAGAAAACCTGAATGTAAAGACCAAAAAAAAAAATAGCAATGCGGAAAAACTTGATCAGCGAGATGAATACAGAATTGCTTAAAGAACATTATTTTTTGTTGTTGTTCCAAAACCTTTGATCTTCAGAGTCACCGGCCGTTTAAAGCACTATTTCTGAAGATTTCAAGTAAGTAAGCCTAAATATAAATGTTAGTACACATTAAATGTGAAGACTTATTAGGTCTACCTAACAAATTTCGAAAGAAGTGTTTACACATGAAAGCAAAGGAAAAGCCTGGTAATATGGTTTTGGCTACAATGTAAGGCAAGAGGTTTAAAACGCTTAAGATACCTATCTTATAAAGCTTTTATATAAATATGTGAGGTAAAAACCGCAGGAGAGAAGGAAGTAATGAACATTAATGAAAACGTAACTATAAAGGTGGAAGTTTTGACAGATTTGGTACGGTAATTAACCAAGGTTTTATAAAATATTATCCATCATAAACCTTTCATTACATTAGTACACACAACTACAGAAATATATTAGACAAAATTATAAATGTATATTTTTTTGTACATTGGCCAAGTTTACATTTCATTTAAAATGTCATTCACCAATATTTATATTATTGACCAAAGGGCTAGAGATCAATAAAATATGGCCTAAAATGGGGCAAAAGCAAAATTGATCCCGTTCGAAATATGTTTAAGAAATGTATCTCTTTTTTTTGTAGAAAGTAAAAAACTGTTTTGTAAGATGGTTTATCATGTTTGCTGTCCACTTTAGACATAATATCATATAACAGCTGCTTACAAAATAGCACTTTTATAACTTTGATTTCATGTATTATTGACGAATCATCAAAAACGAATACAAACTTGATTATAATTTCAAATCACTGCCAAACATTTCCGGCAAATATACAAACAATTTATCACAAATACACTTGGGGTCAGCTACAAATTTCATAATAAAATACCTAATTTTACTGATACTATAAGTTTTTAATTAATCCATATTAATAATATTTTAAGAATCAACTAATTTGGATAAATGATCTTTAAATATAATATATTGATTTCTCTAAAGCTGCTTCAGAATTTCCAAAAGTTATTAATTTATTGGATAATTACTACTTGAAGATGTTAATGACTGTGCAGTGATCTATATTTAACTTATTCCATATGGACATATTTCAAAGTGGTTTTATCTCGTATATTTTGCTTATATTAAGATCAACTAAGCTGTAAAACTCTCAGTTCGATACACACTCACCTGCATGAATAAATTTTTGACGTCACAATAATAATAATTTTCACAATTTAATTTTACATGAATTGCTAAGTATGAAAGACAGCAACAGTTTACTATTTAGAGCACTTATTAGCCAAAAGTAGGTATATTTTATTGACTATTGGTGGAGAATACCTGCTTCTAAGTTCCCAACGTCGTGAAGACCAGATGTTTGCTGGTACCCTCCAATGAATATTTCTTTACTGCTTGTGTCAATCACCTTAGCAACTGTACCAGTGCACTTGAGTTTAAGGCCATCACCATGTAAATGTTTTTGTGTGAGTAAAAACCTCAGGCCTAATTGAGAAAACACACTATCATCTTCCTGAAGAGCATTCGGGTATTTGACGAGGTAGGAAATGTTGGCCTTTTAAGAAAAACACAAATATTAAACCGTTGATCGTCCAGTAAGTTCACTTGTAAGGCAAAAATACATTAATAAAGGTTCGAATTCCGACTCTCAAATAATTCACCTCGTCTGACAAATCGTGAGTCTTGATGAAACTTCTAGATGATTACCGTGATTCACAAAATTCTACAAATTTTATGAAAGCTCGCAAAATCCTTTAAAATTTCTTGCAAAATCTAGTATTTTTATACCTAATAGTTCTGAAAATTAAACATTTTCTTTAAATATTTGATTGATATAAGATAAAAAGGACATATCTGGACAACATAGGTCTTTATCCAGCAAGATTTTATAATGTTATAGTAAAAATACATACTGCATTTTGAATGACGGCTTTTTAAAACATGCGTTATCCAAAGTCCAAACTATGCAAGACAGAAAATAACCGAAATATCCTGAGAGATTCAAAAAATTCTATACTACATAATGGCTGGAGACGGCTTAAGTGGGTAATGAAAAAAAACTTTAATACAAGTTTAACATGACAGCAAATGTACAACGTTTCGACAAGGTTTTGTCATCATCTGATGACAGTTTTTTTTTTTCATTACCCATTTAAGCCGTCTCCAGCCATTATTAGTCTCAAAGTGGGTTCCTCGTCATCGAATCTATACTACATGTTTTTTACTGTTTCTTTCTACGTTCAGGTTTGTTTAGCATATCTATTACATTTATATAAACAGACATTTGTAGATAAGCAATAAAATTAACCCTGAAATTTTGTAGAGAAGAATTAACCATCACCATGTGTATTGAATTGAAAAACAACCGATAATTTCCGAAATGACAATACAAAAGATGAAAAAATATATATAAAAATATAGAGAACGGATAGCATAGTAGAATTATTTCAAGATACAATAACTTTCTAATTAAGGCGAAATTGAGAAAAAATAAAAGTTTAAAGAATAGTGACCATTAATTAGCCATAAATGGAGAGATGGCAATCAATTTAACTTGTACGCATTCTATTAGAAAGCATATTCTAAAAGTGAGATTTGGTGTGGTCATATCACATTATATTTACCTTACAAAAAGTAGCAATAATTTACATTTTAGTCCGTATAATTGCATGAATTATATTTGTGAATTTAGAAAATATAGTTTAAAGCAGCTTATTACAGATCTAACAGCATTGTCTTTATAATGGAGGTTACATACCATTGCATGCGACTATAATAGAGAAATCCAGTTATCCTGATGATCGATCTTTTTATCATTTCTAGAATCTATTATATGGACACACCTCAACATAAATATCGCTATTATTAACTAGGTTATTTAGTTGTGGATAACTCAATATTTGGATAATTTAAAACTTCATAATTTCGACATATTTTTTTTTTCTAAGAAAAACATTATTTTCATTTTAGATTATGCGTTAAAAGGTATCACCCACGCGTATTTCGAATTTTACTTTTAAGATTGTATTCTGGCTACATCAACACGACAACATGAATAATCTATTTATTCCTCTCTAGGTGTAAATAGTTTACTCAAATATGGTGGAACCAACTTTGATGTCAGTACAATATGAACATTAATCACTACTTCTCCCCACATAAGGGTGTCATGTCTAATGCAACATCATTCTTCCCTGCTGGCTTTCCATAAGTCATCTAGTATTCGAGGACGAAGGTTTACCAGTGCTCGTTTCAATAGTCCAATCGCACAGATATCCATAGGCGAGTTAGTTATGTCTTTGTATGAAACAGTATGAATATCTCATTTGATTTTCCAGCTGATTGAATTAGCCCATGGTTGATCAAATATGTCGTGGAAGCAATTTGTGTACACACGACTTGTATCGATTTTCTAGACGGAGATCCTTCTTGGTTATGTTATGTACTGTTGCTTGGGATACATAGACGGCCTTTAACACTAATCTTTGTGCTCCTGAGGTCTCACTGTTATAAGATGCCACACTTTGTTTACCCTAGCAGGGATACAACTTGTTGCAGGTCTCTTTCTGGATGGTCCTAAATCCTCAAGTTGATCCATATTCCTTTGTTTTCCAATGATATTAGGTACAAGGATTATGCCTGTCTTAGAAATCCCCGAAATGAACACATCATTTAGGTACGAGTATATGAATATTTTGCGTCGGAAAGGGCACTTAATTACCTTTAGAAAAGCAATCAAATTTCGATGGCATCACACTACCTATGTAACGCCAAGCGATGTCAAAATGCAGTTCTGACACATTTTGTTCCGCCGCGACTATATATTAGCAGTGCTTGTTACGGGACTAAGTTGATTTGCAAATTCAAAATCGTTTTAATATAAGGTAATAAACTTTACGTAGTCTATTCTACTGGAAGTAACTTACCCAGTATGACTGTTATCAATAATATTCATGTGTGAGCCTCTGTTTTACCATGTTTAGTTGAATCAACACGAATTTGAGTGTGGAATTTTAGAGAACCGTAGATAGACTTACTATGAATGTATTTTTCATACATCAGATGATCTGACATACTTTCTTTGTAGACATCAAGCAACAAAAAAGAAAGGAAAAGTTCACAATATTATCTAAATATAGTGGATTTATGAGTTTTTAATATATTTTATACGGACATAGATTCACGTGAGCTTGCGATATTCTATCCTTTTCCACGTTTCAATTCATTACACTGAGATTTCACATAAGTTTCAAAATGGGGAAAACCCTTTAAAAAATCTAAGTAAGTAAAATAAATAATACTTTTTACCTCTTTTCCATTGATAGACCACGAAAGCCTAAGGGACTTCGTAAACCGCGAAGAAGAGCAATTCAAATCTACAATGTTCCCTACAACGTACTTCTCTTTATCTCCAGTTATTCGCGGTGCAATATCTTGGACAACAACATTTGATGCTAAAGATAAAGAAAAAAGGTTAAGTTTGCTGAGAAAAACCTACTGCTTCAGGTAATAAATTTAGGATTCAAAAGGATTTTACAGAATATATATATATATGTTTCATGGAATCGCATTGTAATAATCAAAGAAGCTTAACGTTTGTATGCTGCTAAGCATAAAGCTGCACAATAGGCTATCTATGCTGTGCCCATTGCAGTGGTCAAACCTTGAACTATAGCGTTATAAGTGTTCATGTTTACCGTTGAGTCAAAGTTACATATATATGTAGTTATATTTAATTTTGTATAGAAGAAATAATAAATTAGATCTCAGCCACAAAACAAACATCTAACATCGGAGCACAAACCATAAGGTGGAGCATTACGTAACGTGCCCTGTCTTTCTTAGGTAGCAGTGGAAGTAAGACCCTAACTGCGTTGGGGCTACCCCGTCTACCCGGTTTAGTCTCGATTTCGCTGGCCTCACATGCTTCATAAAAAAAGGAGAAAAAGGAACAGATGTGGGTGCTCAAGCGCACAAAGTCCCACATCTTTACTACATTTCGCTGTCTGCAGCTCAAAGTGGGAAGATGGTTGGTCATTTGTTATATGTAGAAAAAAATAAGAAGAAAAGTAATAACTAGAGTACTACACATCAATGGGAGAGAAACAAAACCGTTCTGAAGTTGACATTCCAGATTCCAATATGATGTTTGGGCATAAATACCAAGATATTATGGTACTATCATATTTAACTCAGCCTTTTGCTTTCAGTATGGCTCCGATCTTCCACCTTTCCATGCTATCATCTGGATCTCCCCAGTAATACCATTTCAATGGTTCTAAAAGGATCCACAAAGTAGCAATATAGGAAGGTGATACAACTTCATTATTTCACCTATATAAGATATAAAAATGTCCAAATAAGCAATTTTAATTATTTCAATTCCAACCGATACATTTTAGAAAATATTTTTTATTGTTCATAGTATAATTCTATTTATGTCATTATTTTGATATTTATGTAAGTACTTTTTTATTTATATAGAGATTTATACAGAACATGATGGCACACTGACTGCTGACAACCACAAGCAAGTTCTAATCTACAATGACATTTCGTCAGGAACAGGACTCATCGAGCGGGGATTTTCTTACAGCGGGACAGTGATCCCAAGCATACCGAAAATATTGTAAAACGATATATTGACAGTAAAGAGGTGATAAAACAGACACATCCACAATGGCTTGACCTACATAAAGTCCTGATATGAACATTTTTAAGAATGTATAGACTTACATAAGAACTGATAAGTTCAACAGCAACTTGTCTGAATCGTGAGAAGTAATAAAATACATCTAGAACACTATTCTATATCATACACTGAAAACTTTACAACAGTACGAAAACAAGGTGTAATACTCTGTGTAAAGCAGAGGTCCCATATACTAGTGTATTTACAACCTATTTGCTTTTCTTGTATAATGTTTAGTACTACAGTCTAGTTGCTATTACTCGTTGCTTATGACTCCTGTATACGAATCATGTGTTTATTTTGATAATTATTTCCATTACTGTATAATACACAAGATAAATTTTTTGTTTTACTCATTTATATTTAACAAATTGCTACTCTATAACTTAACACTTAAAAGTAATAATACACTTCAAATTGCATTTGTTCATTTAAAAAGCAAACAAATCCTTATGAAAGCAAATATGAAAACAACTCTCAGTCTGCTTAATATATATATATATATATATCACTATACTGTACCTAGTTGATTAGAAAGATGGAAAATTAGCTTAAAAATAAATTCGGTGTATGAAAAGACACTGAAGTAAACAATATATTTTTCATACATTTAACTATTTGTTTTCTTTGATATATCTTTGTTATTTGTGGTATAGCAATATTCAAATATCAAAACTATATATAAAAATCAATGAAACAAAATAACGCTCATCCTTATACTTATGTACTACGTGAGTGTTATCTAAAGATATTTTGTGTAGACTTTGTCACCGTTACTTTTAGCTATATTTGAAATTGTTGATCGCATGACTCTAATTTCTACAAATAACAGTTTTTCCTACATAGTTCCATTAGTGGTGGAAATATCTTAGCTAAAAGTCTGGTCATAAACTGCTTTATACAAAGTAAGAGCTGATTCGTCACTCAAGTCTTGACAGCTGTATGTTTTCGCGACAGGTGATTCCCTGCATTCTTGAACGTTTTAAGGTGTGAGTCACGCAAGCACTTATTAGGAAGAATGTAGAAAGGTTCTTAATAAAACGACTTACACTGAAAGTTGTCTGTTTTTATACTCTCTCCAATAATTAGTTCCTTGCTGTGAGTGGAGTACTCTTGCGTTACGGAGGCTGTGCAGCGAAGCCCCATAACACCATAGCTGAAGTGGTTGTAGGTGACGATGAATGTTAGGCCTAGAGCAGTTGTTTTTAACCCATTAAAATATTCTTGAACAGGATAGGGAGTTATGTATGATGGCTTTGCCTGAATAAAAGTACAATTTCAAATATATCAAGGCCTGTAGCTGTTTACTTTTGTCTCATGCGTTTTAAAATATTTGATTTACTAGAAAATCATTTCACAATTACAAAATAAATTTTCTCATAGAGATATAAAAAAATGAACTGAATCTGTCGAGTTTACTTTTCTGACAATCATCCTTACTTACTACTGTTTGATATTTTATGTGCATAATTAGTCGTAACAGAAACTTAAACAGATTTTAACAGTCAAAATAAGTAAGTATTCTTTGATATGCACTCGAACATTTCATCATTAAAGAAAGTTAACACAAAAAACTTAATTAAACGAAACATATTATGTCTAGCTATAGATACATTTTACATGGCTAGAACAATATATGTTATATATATTGAAATATATTTTCTATAAACAATTAAAGAGTAACTCGGAGAGAACCTATTTATAATTATGATTTACAAGTTCTCAATGATAGCAATGTCTAGTTATACTTCAAAGCCTTTAATGGACAAATTAAACCACGAATGTTTCCATGTCCCTCTCATGGCTCAAAATAGGTTTAAAATTGAAGATCTTCTGCTTAAACCTCTCTCTACAAATCGTATACTAAACCACAATAAAACTACCTACCTATATTGGCAAAGCATAAAACTAATGACAAATATCCTTCTCTAAAGATTTCGAAGTTTCGAGTAGAATCGGCCAGAAACTAAAACATTTCTGAGCTTTTCCCGTTCTTATTTCAAATGATAACATCCACATTAAAACTTAGGAGTAATCAAAGCACGAAACTGTGAATATTTGTTGATTTCAAATGAACCATCAACACTGAATAACAACTTAGATTTTTGTGAACGGTCCTTATTTTAAATGTGATAATTTTCTATTTCTGTAAGTACATGAGCGTTGGATGAACTTTTAACTGCATTCTGATGATCACGGGGATCGTTTATGTTTCATGCACCTCGTTCAAATAAAAAATAATATATATTTTTGAATGTAGTTTTTAATGCAGATTTCAGAAATATAAATTAAAATTTAGAGAAACGAAAATAACTATTTTTATATTTTGCTTTATTTTACTTACGAAACAAAGGAAGTACTTTAGCATTACGTATATAACTATGTATTTAAAAGAATTGCAAAACATCAAGACAATACAAAGTATCTAGTGTCAATGTAACAAATTCAATGTGTAAATTCAGAAGTATTCTTAAATATCTGCTTGAAGATATCATCATTTTCATGCCTACGACGCCAAACGAACTCACAGAGATACGAGTCAATTATGTTACGATTGGTTCCAAAATGTCGCTTGTTACGTCTCTTAACCACCTTCCACGTATTTTCAATTTGATGCAGATTTCAGAAATATAAATTAAAATTTGGAGATTTGATTTTTAAAGTGGAAGAAATGGGAAAATATTTGCATTTTTTAAAGAATTTTTAATGACATTTATTTTATATTTAAATAAACATGTAATTATTTACTAATTAATCTAACTAGATTTAACTTCACATAAACTGACGTAACTTAGCAAAATAAAAAATATTTGTTTTTATTTCTCCAAATTTTAATTTATATTTCTGAAATCAGCATTAAAAACTACATTCAAAAATATATAATACTTTCTATTTGGATGCGGGGCATGAAACAGAAAAGATCCGATCACGGAAAATTAAGTCCAGTACTGAAAAAAACTGCCGAAAGTAACTTTACATATTTAGGGTCTCTCTTTTGCTGCTTTCGATCTGATATTTAAACACGCCTGTGGACCATGAACTTTACTGCTACTATCCCACGGCTTGATGAGTCCAACATTTGGTACTGATTTCAGAAACGATCCCCCCTTGTAAAAAATCTTGAATAAGCCCATGATGTAATTAAATATCTTAGTTATTTTCCCCTGTTTTTGATATATGATTTATTCTATCGGAGTACAGTGTATTTTATTCAATATTCTTGGCATATGTTATTGTAACTCACTGTTGATGAAAAGTATAAATTCCCAAATGTTCGAAGTTTATCTTTCGCTATGGTGTTTATTTTCTTAACTTTTTAATTAGGTTCTATTTCCCATTAAAAATCTATTGCAACTTGTTAAGGCTTATTTTCAAATTAATATTTTATGTTGATTCTAATTTAATGACATTGTTATTTTGTTGTCTTTGCTTAAAAGAGAAAATAGTTTAGAAAGACAAGATAAATGTTTTTTATTCCCGCAACTGTTTCTAAAGCCCTACCTCTTTCCCGTTGATATACCATGTCAGATTAGAGACTGGTTTTGAAGGTTTTGAAAAACATGTGACATTAACATCTTCGCCAATCTGATAAACTGGTTGGTTGCCTTCAATATCAGGAGGTTCTTGGGGTAAAGCTAGGATAAAAAAGAAAACGTACTTCAGATTACTTTATATTCTGCTTGTGCAGATTTAAATACACATCTAAATCTTTAATTTCAAATTTTATTGAATAAATCAAAAACACTATTGATTTAGAACTTTTAGAAAATAATAAATCCTGAGGATTCAAAAATTATATAAGACACTCATTTTTAAGAAAGAGAGGTAAGAAAATCGATTCAAATCTTAATTGATGTTGCAGAATAAATTTTTAAAAGCCAAAAATGGAAGTTATTTAAACCTGTTTTAGTGAATAACCTCTCTTCTAGATAGATATGTTGACTTAAGTCAAGTATGCTATATATATTTATCACTTAAGATATATCATACTTGTCAGACTATGAGATGAACCTTACCGTACATTTTCAATGTTTTATCCACCTGCACTGTTCTGTAAGATGGCGCTTCTGTAGACACTTCACACTCATACAGACCTTCTGTATTAAGATCCGTGTTGGTAAGAAAGACATGCGTTTGGTTGGATCTTTCTAACTAAACAAAATAAAATACAATACTTTTAAGAGATAAAGTGTAAACAAAATGATAATTTTTAATTGACTAATTTTGTTTTTATTAAGACATCAAGACAAATATACAAAATGTGACACGAAACATATAGAATAAATCCCCTTATAAAACTGAAACAGCTGTATGACATGAGTGACTAGCATTACAAATATTAAAAAGCAAAGGTAACTTACTACATGAAAGACATAATAGTAGTAGAAAGTGTGTTGTCATTTCTTACTGATCTGGAATCATTGGTGTTCTGGAAATTATTAAGACCAAATAAGGTCCTTATCATTAGAGAATACAAAAGGATTTCCTTAAAAGATGAAAAATTATATTTCTTATCATTTTTCCTTTCCTTTTTTATAGGAACAAATTATTCTATTGAAAACTCAAATTCATTCTCTAGCAAAAACCTTTTATGTATAAGATAAACTACGATATGCATTCCTTCATGGGTCAAAATAAGTTTAAATCTTCAGATCTTCCGCCTAATCCTTTCTCTACAAGTCGTCTGCTAATACATCTGTAACGCCACCTACATAGCCATACCCTGGACGAGTGTTATTTACGTTAAGTGCGCAAAACACATCTGCCCTTAATGCATATGAACTATAAAACAAAATTAAACACACAAGGAAATTATACGTTAAAGGATAACCAGAACTGGTAGTATTATAGCTATGATAAGGAGAAACTTCTTTTATTACTCAAGTCATCTGAAATAAACAAAAGGGTTAGCCTTTCAGAATATTTTATACATAGTGAACTCATACAGTCTTGTCTTAGTTGTTATTTTGAGGTAACTCGCAGAGTTTACATGCTGCAAATTGTTCATGAACAATGGTTACACTTCAAAGAAGCCATTTTGTCGTTTTTACTAATGTTTCCATCATTTTCAGAAGGATGTTTATTACAAATTATTATTACAGTGTTGTTAGAAGAATCGATAACCGTTCCCAAGTTAATGAACAGGTGCTTGGCAACTTGAAACTAGCCCAGGCAGACAACCATCTTCTGTTCATTCTGATTCGCGTACCTGTTCGAAGACTGAATCAAATGTTCACAACCACAACTGAGCGTCGTATGAATGTACGGACGGATAGGAACGGATTTCATTAGGTCGGCTTATATTCTGCTTGTCCAGTGAGGTGAATTTCTCTCATAACAAGATGCAAAACAACTTGTCTGTAATGATGAATTGTAGTTCAATCAGCAGCCAAATAACAAAACAGATATGTACTCATTGGAAAACAATAACAAAACAGATATGTACTCATTGGAAAACAATAACAAAACAGATATGTACTCATTGGAAAACAATAACAAAACAGATATGTACTCATTGGAAAACAATCTTGTAACCACATCCAATTCAATTTTCATACAAGAGTGTGACACATATCATGGAGGAGGACGAATGATATGACAGGAACAAGTATTGGTGTAGTTATCAGTTTCTACAACGTGTGGAATGGTACCATTACTTCAATACATTATAAGTACCATATCCTCCCACTGTGCGAGAGAATTTATCTCTCTCTGAATTTTCTTGCAGCAGAGATGTTTTTTGTTTATTATTTATTTCATACCAGAAACCCGCATGTTGAACATTCCTGATGGTTACTTTTCAGGATTCTCTTTTTTTTCACATTGCTTCTTCTATATTTTCTCGATGTTTCTTCCTTTTGTTATGATTTCCGTTGGTTTTCGTCTTCTCCATATTCATGAAAAATTACAGAGCTGATTTCTCTCACTAAATCTCTCTTCTTCCTTGTAGTGCTTTAGATCGCACTTTATTTTTCATTGTCACTTAATGTTCTCTTTGGCGCCAAGAACACGGTCTTTGTTCTATCTGACACCACTTTTTTCCTCATGCTAGTTATCTTATTTCTTCTAGATCTAGTGGGAAGGAACCTTATTTCACGAAAGTAAGTATTACAAGAATTATTCTGCACTCTTCTTCTTCGGTTTTTGTGTGACATCCGTTCATTTTATGGACAGAGAAACTTTCCCACCGTTAACAATCCTCTACATAACCTCAGCTCTTGCCACGTCCACTTCTTCTTAATAACATTCTGCGGAAAATAACACTGCTAGACGTCCGTTCTCAGATGTCTCCTTTCCCTTGTCCTTCGCCTCATTTTTTTTAGCTAAACTCCTTCTCTTCTGGTCTGAACTTACCCTCAGGCCGCTTCTATTCCTGTTTGCCAATCCTTTTGTCATGCTTCCACTCATTGATTTTCCTGTTTTAACCAGTGTTTCTCCAATCTGAATTTGTTCCAGTATTTACTCCTACGTGAAATTTTGACACCTGTTTTGCCTCTTTATAATTGTCCTCTATTATGGCTGCTTCAGTACATTCCTGTCTGCTTTTCTATTTCATTTTCCCTTAAGTTTTAATCTATATTTAGTTTTTGTGCTAAAAGTGCAAAAGGTATTTGGCAACACTGCGTCTTGAACTAGAAACTCTCGGATCCTCAGTCCCTAAATTAACCACCAGGCCAAGCTCGAATTAAAATATGGTATTTAAAGAAATTTGTAAATTGTATTGTTGTAATAGTGTTTTCTACTCAATTTAGGTTCACCGAAATGTCGTCAGTGATGGATGATCAGAATGCAGGGAATTTATATATATTATATATTTACAAAAATGTATTGTTCTCCTGATAAAAAAAGACTCTGATAAAATCAAGGTGAATTGAGTTAAAAATAGATTGAAGTCGATGTACTTTTCGTTTCTTTTTTCGGTGAATTAACTATTTTAATTGAAAGTGGAAATTGTTTTAATGTCTTAGGATAGACATAAGGTTTGGGATTCTAAAAATTGAATCGTTATATGTGATATATATTGGCACGAGAAAGCGTAAAACTCATACAATGCTTCACTTAATGAAGCTAAGGCTTAAACCTTTGCAGTAACAACTAAACAAATATTTGTCGTACCGCTCAGAGTTCAATTGAACCTAGCTTGTAAATCTTTCTTGTTTGCTAAGGAGTAAACATACAGTACTAAACAACTACGTTTTAAACAAATATATTAATACTGTGACTTAATGTTATTATTTCAGTACACGCAAAGTAAGGTTGAATTGTATTTTATTAGGACCAAATTGTGTTGTCTTAAGTTGCTTTATGTTGGAAAGATTCCAGTAAAATAAAATAATATAATTTCTATTTCAGTGATAGTAAAACTATATTCACTGTTAAAAATACCCGTAAAATAATGGTTTAACCAACTGTAGAATTTAAAGTTACATTCACCATTAGGGATATTCACAATAAAAACTACAGCTTGTTAAATAAATTCTCAGGTGTAAAACTCATATCCAAATGTAAGTGTATTCGAGGGGCAGAGTTAAAATGGATAGAAAAATTAAAAGCCTGTTTAGTATATCTTTTCATTTTCTCTAACACATTTGACATATATATAGTAACTGAAAATTGTATTATTATATCAATTTTCTGGGGGGGCATGCCCCCAGACCCAGACCAAGCATCTAGCCAAGCATCCACACTTTGCAACTCCTTCCTAAACCACTGTATTTGATTCCTATATCGGGCTTTATGTGATACTAGCAGAGACCAGCAAAACATCTACGGTCGAATCAGTACCTTTATTGCAATAGTTATTCTTTAAATACCTAATTTCTAAAACAATACAAAAGAATTTTAATCGCAGACACCGAAATCTATAAGTCCACTTGTCTTAGGCTTAACATTGAAAACAGTACGGCCTATATTCGATAAAGAGATAAACGTGTGTACTCTTTTTTGCTTTACTTTAATTAGGGCTAAAGTTTGCTGTACTTAATACTATTAATAAATAAACTTATAATGATATTCTACGACCTAACGTTAGGCTTTTTTAAAAACATTTATAAGCTTTAAGTATTGTTGTACAAAATGTTTAATAAAGTATATTTACATTCGCCTTTGTTTACAACCGGTGAAACGAAATGTGCGCGAATGCGCGTTTGATGGTCAAGTGCGCGCGCATTTTCAGGACACAAAAACTGAGTATCATTATCATAGAAAGCTAACTGTGCTTTAAATGCCAGATAGAGTTAGGTATTTTCTTGTCACTCAAAAACTGGGTCGCATTTCACTCTTCAGTAGCACCTTTCTATTGTGGCTTGCTAAGAAGTAAGTTAATTGTGATAAAGTTATGATATTGAGACTAGATATTCTGATTTATTAAAGTAACATATTTGTACATAGTTTCCGTAGAAAAGGTAACGTTGTTTGTTTAACATTTAATTCAGGACGCATCTCGTGTATCCACAAATTTTCTTTTCCCTCATATTAAATTTAGAACTGTCTTTAAACCGATGTTTCATTTAAGTACATATTTTATATATAAAGACAGAATTCCTATAACACATCGCTCTCTTACGTCATATATAAAGTTACATCTCCAAGGTGTAACCTTGGCTATGTCGGCTCTACATTACGTTGTCCGAGCTCACGTATTGAAGAGCATGCGCAAAACTGAGCATATGATCAGTCGTCCATCCTTCGCCACTGTTTACAGGACTCTGACACAAATGAGCACTTTAACATCTTGGGAAGTGCGGATAGTAAAGAAATGCTACGTACTAAAAAATATTTGTGGATACACAAGATGCGTCCCGAATTAAATGTTAACCTAACACATTTGTAGTAGTTGATTGAACTGTCACTGAATTTACGGCTAGCAAAAGCAGCGACATTACCATTCCTGCTTTTAAAACATGTTTATCTGAACCCATATATCTAAATAAACATGAAAACACATTATTCCACAGAATACTTGGTTACTCCAGATTGTTGTTACAATGATATCATAACTTGTCTAATGATATACGAGATGCAATATGTATAAATTTATTTCACTATTTATTTTATATAATCATGAAAAAAGATCTAGTTTGTTGATAATGTTTTGTCTGTGTTTGTTTGTTTTATTTATATTTAAGCACAAAGCTACACAAAGGGCTATC